AGGACTAGAAACTTGTGCTTGCCCCCGTTTTTTTTTTTTAAACGAAAACATATTTCTCAGGAAGTTGCATCCTCCTCTAGGGAGATTCCAGATTTCTTGCCGAATGTAAACATGTGGAAGTCGAGTCGGGAGTCCCCCACAGAACAGTCCTGCACGTGTCTTTTCCCTCTCTTGCTTGGGCGCGTGCAAGGACCCGCACACAGCATCCTTCATCTCTGTCTCATCCCGTTCCAGGCTGTACCATTCTCATAGAACCCTTCGACGACCGGACTCCCACCATCGCCAACCCGATCCTGCACTTCAGGTGAGGAACGTCGCGGCTCGTGAAAAGGATATCGTAGAGCTGAGAAAGGAAAGCGTTTGGGCACAAAGGGGATGAGCCCGTTTCCTTTTGCTTGTGCTCAAAATGTGGTCAACTGCCTCTGGGCAGGAAGGTTTCATTTCGTTGCCTTGCCTGTCTGGTCCGGCAGTTCCTGGCTGGAAATCCCCTTTCCGTAGCCCTCCATTTTGCTTCTTCGCCATTGTTTTCTTAGGACAGAGGGGAGGGAGAAGTCTTTTGGGCTTGTACCTTTGGAAGCGGGGTGGGAGTGTGGCGTCCTCGCTGATAGGGGAAAACGGTTTTACCTTTAAACACTCTGTGCATATGTAAACTTGGTAGGTTTCTGCTGCCACCAGGAATTAAAAATTCCAGTTTTCTCTCTTTTGGTCGTATGACCCAGGGTCAGGGCACTTCGGAGGACTATGTGGCCCTGAGGAAGGACTATTCTGATTTCTGGGATAAGTTTAAACAAAAATCAATTTATTTAATAAAGAACAAAATAGGTTTGTGGTTATTTTGAACTCTTGCTGAAGAAAGGAACTTATAAATATAACTGGCAAGGCATGGTGTTAAACTTATAAATATAACTGGCAAGGCTTGGTGTTACAGTCTCTCAACCTCCAAACTCCACTCTGACAGGCTTATGCACTCAGTATACTCTCTCTCTTTTATATATAGCCACACAGGCTAGTCTCTTTGTTTTATTCACACCGAATAGAAGCAACTCTCTTAGTCACACAGACTAAACTGTTGGTCTTATTCACACAGAATTAGACTCAAAGTTCCATAGTCACACAGACCAGGCTCACTCTTCAAACGTCACACACAGAATCTCTCAAAACTTCTCATTTAACTGAGTCTCCCCATAGACACACACACACACAATCCTTTCAGACACCCCTCCTCCCACACTCTCAGTCAGCAGCCAGTCAAATCACACTTTTCACTCTCTATCATTCTTCTCATATTACTGCAGTCAAACTAAACATTCAAAGGAACACAAACACACCAAAACATGGAATCATTACAGGGAGATAATGGATTATCTTGTAATCCCAGGGCGGAGCACCATCTTTTTGGGGTGGAGTGTTGTCAGTGAAGTAGCCCTCCCTCACTGCCCCTCCTCTTTCCAGCTGCATGGATGCCTCCATCGCTATCAAGCCGGTCTTTGAGAGGTTCCAGTCGGTCGTTATCACCTCGGGGGTGAGTGGGGCTTTGGGGGGGGGGCTGCCCCGTCCTCCTCTGCTGTGTGCCTGAATGTTTGTTTCCTGTCTGGGATGCGAAGGGTGCCTGTGGATCGATTCGCCATGTTTCCCCCTTTTTTTCCACCGCAGACCCTTTCCCCGCTGGACATCTACCCAAAGATCCTGGACTTCCGGCCTGTTACCATGGCGACTTTCACCATGACCCTGGCCAGAACTTGTTTGTGTCCGATGGTGAGTGAGGGAGAGCGAAGAGGGAGCCGGTCTGTGGCTGTTGGGGCTCAAGAATGGCTGGTGGGTTGCCGCGGCCGCCTTACAAACCTGCCTGGCACAGAACTGGGACCCCGTCGTCTGTCTAGCTCAGGGCGATCAGTTCCTGACCTAACCTGGCTGTTCAGGGTCACGGACAAGAACATCTGCAGTCCTGCTACCAGAGAGAGGACGATGACTTCCATCTGGTATTTTAGTAGCACTTTTAAAGCTTGTAGCCGTTCACGTGCAATCGTACAACTGCCCTGTAATACAGGCCAAGTGTTATCCCCGTGATACACGTTGGGGGGGGCAGGTTGAGAGACGGGGGCTCCACTTTTGGCCATTTACATGAGTTTGGTTATTTGCTAGATTTTTTATTTAATTTTTTTATTCTTTTATATAATGTACAGAATACACAACACAATTCATATCACGCAACACAAGAAGATTATATCAGAGCTGTAAAGTCAGTTACAAGTCACTTTACCCTACCAGAACATGCTAAGACGAGTCTATAACTTAAATGTATAGCTATAAGCGAAGAGCATTATAGAACGGACCTTTCAGCCTTATCCATGAGGGTGGTGAGGTATCTTTGTCCTGAGTGCTACTGTGGTTGGAAACTGGTTACAGGAATAACCACCTGTGGTAAAGAGGATTTGTGGGAAGTACATTGTCATCCCTTGGTGTGTCATATACTTTATCACTGGTGCCAAACGCTGTGTGAATTTAGAGTGTATGGTATTATTTAGTGATAGTGATTGCCGGCTTTGGTCTGCCCAAAGGGTCTCACGGTGACTTTCAACATTAAAATCAATAAAACGACATAAAAACAACATAAAATAAAACAACATAAAAACAAATAACTAATATAAAGTATTAACATTAAAATATTAAAGTACGTGGCTGTCACCATACCACTGTTAAAGCAGCCCAAACACCTGGTTACCCTCCAAAGGTAAAGGTTTCCCTCGAAAGCCAGTCGAATCCGACTCTAGGGTTGCAGTGCTCATCTCCGTTTCAAAGCCGAAGAGCCAGCGCTGTCCGAAGACGTTTCCGTGGTCATGTGGCCGGCATGACTAAACACCAAGGCGCACAGAACGCTGTCACCTTCCCACCGAAGTGGTCCCTATTTATCTACTTGCAATTGCTTGCTTTCGAACTGCTAGGTTGGCAGGAGCCGGAACTAGAGACGGGAGCTCACTCCGTCATGCGGCACACTCGGGCCTCGAACTGCTGAACGACCGACCTTCCACAGCCAGCAACAATTCAGCTTTGCGTGCCCTGCGGAAACTAAACAAGTCCAGCAGGGCACGGGTGTCATCTGAGAGTGCGTTCCACAGGGTAGGGGCCACAACTGAGCAGGCCCTTCCCCTGGTGACAGCTAAGCGAGCCATCCCGGGGCCGGGCACCTGCAAGAGGCCCATAGGATGACCGAAGGGCGTGCAGGGGGTTGTAATGGGTTAGAGGCAGTCCCGTAGGTATGAGGGTCCCAGACCATTTAAAGTTCATGGTGGAGGCGAGATCCGAACTGGGACCCACCTTGACCCGCAGCTGTTGGCCATTAAGTTTTAACTTCCCCTTAGATACACTAGGAACTGAGCCCAGGATCTTTTTGGACCACAGGAAATACTTTACACAGCGAGTGATTGAAATGTGGAATCTGCTGCCAAAGGATGTAGTGATGGCCGCAGGAATAAACAGCTTGAAAAGGGGATTAGACAGATTCATGGAGGAGAGGACAGTCAGTGGCTACTAGTCATGGGGATTAGAGGGAACCACCACGCTCAGTGGCAGTGTGAATCCCTGAGCCAGGAGGCAACACCAGGGGAAGGCCTTGGACTTTCTATGCCCTGTTGCTGGCCCTCCAGAGGGACTGGCTGGCCCCTGTGTGAGACGGGAGGCTGGACTAGAGGGACCCTCCCTGGTCTGACCCAGCAGGGCTCTTCTGGTGTCCTTCTCAGGGGAAGGCCTTGGCCTCTCTGCCCTGTGGTTGGCCCTCCGGAGGAACCGGCTGGCCCCTGTGTGAGGCAGGATGCTGGACTAGATGGACCCTCCCTGGTCTGACCCAGCAGGACTCTTCTGGTGTTCTGATCAGAGGAGGGCCTCGGCCTCTATGTCCTCCAGAGGAACTGGCTGGCCACTGTGTGAGACGGGATGCTGGACTAGATGGACCCTCACTGATCTGATCCAGCAGGGCTCTTGTGGTGTTCTTATAAAGGCTTTAGCCTCTCTGCCCTGTTGTTGGACCTCCAGAGGAACTGGCTGGCCCCTGTGTGAGGCAGGATGCTGGACTGGATGAACCCTCACTGCTCTGACCCAGCAGGGCTCTTCTTATGTTCTTATACCATGGCTGCCTTCCCTCCCAAGGTCCCTATAACCTACTTACATTTTATTTATTTCTTAGAATATTTATGTCCCGTTTCACCTCGTGGCTTCCAAGTCGTGAGGCAAACAAACATTACAATTTAAAACCAATCGTATCAAACCCATGATTGCCCCCTCTTCCTCGGCCCCTCCTCCCAAAAGATTCCTCCTCTTTATACCTCATTGCAAGCCCCAGGACATATGGTGGCCCTGTGGCACCTCCTGGAGAAGAGGACACTGCCCTCACGTCCGCAGGGAGCCTGTTCCACAACGCGGGACCTACGGTGTGAACGGCCTGGGCTCTCTGGCTGATGCCAGGCCGACCGCCTTAAGTACTGGACCAACCATTACGGGGCAGCCCACAGACTGCAGCTCATGCACGGGAACGTGTGGGAGGATATGGTCCTGACCTGTGGGTCCCTCAAGCCATGAAGACCTTTAAAGGACATAGCCGGCACCTTAAACTGGAAACAGACAGGCAGCCAGGGTCACTGTTTGAAGATGGGCTGAAGGTGTTCCTGTCGGCCAACCCTGGAATTTCCTGTGGACTGGTTGCCCCTTTGGCTAAAGGACCGTTCCCCTTCTCTCCCCCCCCAATGCCTTGTTTGCCTTCCAGATTGTAGGGCGAGGGAACGACCAGGTCGCCATCAGCTCCAAGTTCGAGACTCGCGAAGACATTGGTGAGTGTGGCTCTGAGCCTGCCCCTTTAAGATGCCGGGGGAGGGGGCGTCAGCAGCTCCCAGAAGCCCGAAAGGATCCCCCATCCTTTCCCACAGCTGCTCTCCTCCTCGACAAGTGGGCTGGGGGTTTTGCACCAATGCTCCCTCTAAGCTGTGGAGTCTTGTGAGCGAGAATTCTACTCTGTGAACTACTGGCATTAAAGCTGTGAGTGAGAAGAAGAAGAAGAGAAGAGATTGGATTTATACCCCACCCTTCACTACCCAAGGGAGTCTCAGAGCGGCTTACAAACTCCTTTCCCTTCCCCTCCCCACAACAGACACCCTGGGATGTAGGTGGGGCTGAGAGAGCTCGGACAGAAACTGCTCTTTTTTCAAGGACAGCCCTTATCAGAACTACGGCTTGCCCGAGGTCATCCAGCCATGTGCAAGTGGAGGAGTGGGGGAATCAAACCCGGTTCTCCCAGATTAGAGTCCGCGCACTTAACCACTACACCAAACTGGCTCTCTTAATTTATGCAACAGCGATTGGGCTGTTGCATAAATTAAGTTTGCTCTGGAGCCCTCCTTCCTGAGCCAAGACAAAAATGTGTGAGATGGAGCTTAAAAAACTGGGCTCACTCACGCTAACTCAGCTGAGAGGGAACACTGTTTGGCACCCAGGAGGGGTGAGCTCGGTTGGGTCAAGAGGGTTGACTTGTGCCAACAGGTGTTTCTGGGCTCAGCTGGGGACGCATTTTGTGTAGCAGCTCAGGCTGGAGAGGGGTGGGTGGGAAGGCAGCGCCCATCTCTTCCTCTCTGTGTTCCGGCAGCTGTGATCCGCAACTACGGCAACCTGCTCCTGGAGATGTCTGCGGTTGTCCCGGATGGCATTGTGGCTTTCTTCACCAGCTACCAGTACATGGAGAACATTGTGGCCTCGTGGTATGAGCAGGTGTGTAGATGGGGGCTGGGGGTGAGTTGGGGGAGCACACCAAGCCCCCTGTGGCAAAACGGGCCTGCTCCTGCCTGCGGGCCCCGATCCACCCAACTCCCTGGAGTAACTTTTCTTCCTCTCTAGGGTAGCTGCTGCTGCCACCTGCCCACTGGGAGGGGCAGGAGCCCTATATTTCCTTCCATGCTCAGAGGCCTTGCCTCTCTGTCTCCTGCTGCCCAGCGCCTGGCCGTGGGAACAGATTAATGCCTTCGGCATACCAGGGGGAATCCAAAATGAGAGATCACGGTGGAACTCCAGCAACAACATCCGTGATAAAAATAGCAAAGAGTCAATAAAGATAGGTTGCAAAAACATTTCCTGAAGTATTTCTGTAGTTCTGTAAGGAACATCCTTCTGTCATCGCTCTCGCGCTAACGAATACTGCGCAATGTGAACATTCGTTTCACAATATATACTTTATCTGTTGTTATTGTTGTTCAGTCGCACAGTCGAGTCCGACTCTTCGCGACCCCATGGACCAGCTCCCGCCAGGCCCTCCTGTCTTCCGCTGTCCTTTGAAGTTTGCTCAGTTTCATGTTTGTTGCATCTATGACACTGTCTAACCATCTCATCCTTTGCCGTCCCTTTGACCTTCAATCTTTCCCAGCATCAGGGTCTTCTCCAGTGAGGGCTCCCTTCTCATTGGGTGGCCAAAGTATTTGAGCTTCAGTTTCATTATCTGGCCTTCCAGGGAACAGTCAGGGTTGATTTCTTTTAGGATTGACTGATTTGATCTTCTTGCAGTCCAAGGGACTCTCAAGAGTCTTCTCCAGCACCATAGTTCAAAAGAATCTATTCTTCGGCGCTCGGCCTTCCTTATACTTTATCTGAGCGTGTAGCAATCCCAATTCTTATCAAATACTACTTATCAACTCTTGCTGGAAACATTCCATGTTGACTAATAACAGGACCCAAGTCCCTCACGATGTCTTAGCTAGATTCTAAATGCCAAACATAAAGAATCGGGATTGCTACACGCTCAGATAAAGTATATATTGCGAAACGAATGTTCACATTGCACAGTATTCGTTAGTGTGTGAGCGATGACCGAAGGATGTCCCTTACAGAACTACAGAAATACTTCAGTAAATGTTTTTGCAAGTTATCTTTATTGACTCTTCGTTATTTTTATCACGGATGTTGCTTTTGGAGTTCCATACCTGGGGAAATGGCTGCTTGTCAACCCCCCTGGAGCTCCTTTTGAAATAGCGTGTCTGAAATGGTGGAGGTCTATGTGGTACAGAGAACCACTCCCAGCGTCAAAAGTTATAAAGTACTTATTAAAAGAAAATGTTCCTAAGGGCCCTGACCTGGATAGCCCAGGCAAGCCTGATCTCATCAGATCTTGGAAGCTAAGCAGGGTCGACTGTGGCAAGGACTTGGATGGGGGACCTCCTTGGAATACCAGCAATCGGGAGGTGGGGGGCAGGCTTTATTCTGCCACCTCTCTGAATATCCACCAGCCCCCCAGTAGGATTTCAGTCACCAGAGGTCACCGTGAGGTGCACACACACACACACACGTTTAAAAAATATGAAATGTTCATAAACGTACTTTTAGCACAGCACCAGATTGAGCAAGGAAACCCAAAGGAAATTGGTAAAAACACAGATCCTCTGTCCCTCTCTCTATACATGCCCTACTAGCTGTTAAAACAGGACAGGATCTTTAAGCTTAGCTAGTCACAAATCTCTACAGAGTGGTCATTACCTGAAAGCTTGCTCCAACTCTCCCAGGTGAGCGCAGGGTCAATTGGCCACCCGCTTGCAGACCAGAGCACAGAGTTCTTCTCAGTGCAGCATCCTACTTCTGGTGGCAAGGAAGTTTCATCATCCCTGTTTCAGCCCAGGTCAAGGTGCCTTTTCCTGTTGTCTCCAGAAAGCTCCTTCCTAGTCTCTCTAGAATCTGATACCTGCAACTCTCTGTTCCCTGCTTGAAGAAGGGGGTAGTGGAAGGGGGAGGCTCGGTTCTCCTGTTGTCTCTATTAGTGTTTCTATTGATGGACTTCCACCTTCCCAGCTGTTCTCTGCCCAGAGAAAGGGGGGGGGGAAGCCTTTTAAAACGCCAAGTGGAGGCTTGCGGCTTGCCGACCTCCCAGGAGAAAATACATTTCATCAAACCCTCCAATGATGGTTGGGCGATGGAAGATGGAGACAGCCAGGAGTGTAGGATGAACCAACTGAGCTCCCCCCCCCCCCCGAAAT